AACTTCTCAGTTCTAAAATCCAGCAGAGAAGGAAAGACAACTTTTTTGGTAGCAAAGCAAAAGAACTCATTAATGGATTGTCTATGCCATTACAGAGGAAGGTTACTGAAGACCTGAACAGCTTTTATAGCAATATGCTTCAGTATCTGCAAAAAAGATATGATGTGACAGATGACAATCCCTATACATCCCTTGCAGCATTTTCTCTGCAGGAAGGGATTGAGTTCAAAGATTTTGAAAAAAGCCATAGAAGTGTTTCAGCTAAGTGAAAATTTTGCATTGATGACCTGTGCGAGGAGTTCAGCAGCCATCGAGATTACGTCTGCAACAGTGTGAACAGATATGGTGATTATGTAGCAAACTGGCTTACATTTCTTTCTTCAGTACCTGAGCATGATGTACCAAATATTTCCAAAGTGGTAGGAGTTTTGTTTAGCATCCCTGGCTCAAATGCTTTTGTGGAGCGAATCTTTTCATTCATGAAAAGTAAGTGGAGTGACACAAGAAACAGATGCTCAACAGATTTAATCAAGGCAGAACTCCAGGTGACAGTGAACTATGAAAGCAAGTCATGTTCAGAATTTTATAAATTTTCAAAGGGTGATGTTCAATTATTAAAAAGTGCTAAGAGTTCAGTGAAATACAATTAACAGAATCTGATCGACCAGCCCTTGAAAGTTATAAATATGTAGTATTTAATATTTGTGTTCTACAAATATTTTGTGCATTCTATAAATATGTAATAGGGCTATGTAATATTTGTTTTGTTCTATAAATGTGTAGTAGGCCTATGTAATACAGATGTGTAGCAGCATTTTGTAAGTTATGTAGTATGTTGATTATGTATATTTTATAGCCTATTAGTTGTGAAAAATATCGTTATGAACAAGCAACGAGACATCACTCCTTTTTTTAGTTTACAAAATCTGGCAACCCTAAGAGGAGTGGTCAGCTTCACGCTCCGACCGCTTTACTTTCGGGAACAGCTAACCATTGGATAGGCAGTTGGGTGGGCCCATAAATTTTTACCGATGGCGTGCCCAATGCATAAATTTCTTTATTTTCAAAAGCAACGCACTAATAGCAAGACGTAAAAAGAGGAATTCATATTGTAGTCCTCTGTAGTTATTACCATTGGCGTCGGCAGAAGGGGGGGGGAAGCCAGACATCTGTCTTCCCCACAGATTTTTATACAAACATAAAAACTGGAAATAGGATGAAACATAACAAATATATTTTTTCTCTTTGGCGCTACAGCCCCAATTTGGGCCTTGGCCTACCTCCATGAAACTCTCCGTTTCACTTCGGTTTACTAGATCTTAGATATTCGGCAGGACTCCTTGGGCAGGTGATCAGCTCGTCGCAAGGCTTCTACCTGTACACAAACACAGAAAAACGCACATACACACACAAACACCAAACATCGATGCCCTAAGTGGGATTCGAACTGACGATCCCGGCTTCAGAGCGAGCGAAGACAGTGCATAACTTAGACCACTTGGCTACTGTGACCGGCATAACAAATACTAGTAAGAAAAATTGGAAGTATTAAAAACATATAAGGTAAAACTATCCCTGCAACAGGCCATGAAGGCCCATAGGGTCGTGAGACGTCGAGGTTCCCATATTTTCCCTAGACAATCGGCTCACAGATGGCGGTGAGGTTGTCAGCCTTACGCGCGGCCGCCCTTTACTCCCAGGAAGATTCCTGCTAGTCATTTCTGTTAGAGGCTGAGTCGACCCCAGAGCCATAGTGCGGCTGGAAGGACGAGGTAAATCGAAAAAAAAAAAATCACCTCATCAGGACTCGAACCCGCGACCTTCCGGTTTGTAGCTTACACCTTTTATCCTGAATACTTTGAGATCAGCGAAAATATTCTTAAACGCCTTAAACATAAGTTTGTAAGTAAATTGTGTAGCTGCAGCCACTCCCCTCCCTATTGAATGAAGAGGTCCTGGAAACATACACGACACTTTGTGGCCCGATAGGTAACTATCAACGTTTCGGAAACGCTGAAGTTGGGGACATGCTGTTTCTAGACGCCGGTACCCACTTGCCGGACTATAAATTGCGATACGGAGCGATATGAATGTTCACAACAATCATAACCTCAATGTTACGAAAGCATTTGTTATCAGTCCAGATGTTTCTGATACTTACGCTGAAGTTGCTGCAGAGAGCTGTACCGATATGTGTGGTAGTAGGCGACATTATCGTTGCTAACTACTTTGGGCTGTGCCATCTTGACATATGTTTGTCATAGAAATTTACTCTGAATATCACAGATTCGCACGATATCCACTGGTAACACGATCCTCTTTCAGCAGCGGTAAATAATTACATCCTTGTATAGTCTGTACAGTTCCTACACATTTTGCAAAAGCTCGAATTCAATATCCCCCCCCCCCAAATTGCACGTCCACATGAAGGCAATTAATTGGATACCGACCCCCCTTACGCTGGTATAACTCACAAACTGTTGTTGATGATCACTGCTACGCGACTCGGAACTCCAGTACGGCAGGTTTATCTTTCTGCAAGGTAGTATTCACGTGTCGTTTGTCACTGAATGTTATGTAAACACTTTTTTTTTATTATTGTAGACACACAGCACATTAACTCTCTGTCCCTGAACAGATGTGAGTAGATCCCAAATGAACGACCCAGAATATATTTACTTTCAGCTTAACTTCGGATGTTCTCATTATGTTTATTTGATCTATTCACGCTGTTTGCAGTAGTCATTTGGGTATAGAGTCGTTATTGGTACGGCGTGGTATCCGATAAGACACATTCACCAGCTCCGAGATGTAAAAACAAGTTTTGAAATAAAAGCAACGGCGATGTGACGCATTTCTGGCGCCTTATTGGTGTCCATCCAGATTAGTCAGTTCCTGAATCTTTAACCTTTGACTCTGTCTTATACATAATACACCAAGTGGGGCGCAATTGCGAGGACTTGCAGCTTCGAATTATTTTAAAATCAGTCGGAATACTTATCGATTTGTGAGACAAAGCAGCACAAAGATTAATTCTATTTGATCATCTCGAAAACCACAAGAATTACAGAAAAAGTGAACACGACATAAAACGTGCCCCTCTTTTCTCCCGAAACATTTTCCACTCCGATGAACATTCGGCGAGTTACGCTCAAGATGTGCGCGCAGAAACCCGCTTGGGTCGTCGTCATGTGAAGTGTCCGGTACTGTCGTCCTGCTTTAACCAACCATGGAATATGCAGTAGTGAAAATCTCAGCGGTTATGAAGCTGATACATTCACACACGCAGAGAGACGTGATGAAGGCCACAGATACATTTTTATATAATGTCGATGCCATCCCGCCAAAAGTGATGTTATCTACGGCAAGATCTATATCTTGTGATGTGAATTAGTAAGACTGCTTTCCATTCGTACACTTTAATCCTCGTCTGCGCTTATCTAAGAAGATATGACTGATTTCACTGTCAATATCATAACATCTAACAGATAAAACTTTACAGAAAAGGACTCACACTCAGATTGAGAGACCAAAGTTTGTTCGTGTAATTAAAACAAAAAGATTGGGAACGAAGATTCAAATCACACCGAAACACTATACCGTATTATCTGGAGACCGCTTGAACAGAAGTGGCTTCCGCCCAAGAGGGGGCCTGATTTCAAAGGGCATGAAAATCTTGGAAAGAACAAAAAATATGTAAAATTTGAGGTTTTCACGGCGGTGACTATCAAGAATGCCCTCTTCTGTGTTGTGGTGCGGTGTAGATATTGTATAAACCGATGTTTAGGAGGAACGTATCGCCTCCATCTTCAGGGTATAAAAAATCTGTGATCGAGGAACCAGCGTGACCTGGTGCCTGCAGCAACAATATTTACAAGGCGCCATATCTCAGAAGACGCCATTCTTCGACAAAAAATATGGTCATGGGTCCCGAGGCGGCCCGAAACCAAATTCTGACTGTGCTGGCGACAGCCAGCAGCAATTTACCCGACCTATGCAGTCTGATTAAGGACAAGCAGGCGAAGACTGCGAAACGTCTGAAAAAATGATACCACCCCTCAAATAAAGCGTGTCTCACTTAGCCGATGATTTTCTCTTCTCACCTGCTATTCTACCATTTTTCGTTACACCTATCTCTTTGCATGAATATTTCAAAGGGTTAAAGGTCGTCCGTTGTTCCTTGTTTCAATAGATTTGTACTTATCAGCAACTTGAAAACAGCCGTGCGTGTTGCCTCCCTTATCACACATTATGTAACGCAGGTAGAGATGTACGAGTAGAACTCGCGTTGGATGCGAGGCTACGCGGGTCTGAGCTGGCCTGGACACTGCGGAGGAAGTCGAAATCAGATTCCTCGGTCGTCCGGTCAGTAGCCTAAGCTCTATACCCACTGACTAACCCTGATGTTGCACAACAAAGACCTTCATAATTCTTCATTGCCATTGCAGCAAGGTGGACGAGATGGGCGGGGAATGTAGCAAACATCACATTCGCCGAGCGACTAATAAATTTTAAAGACGGTCTGTGCTCCATGGCGTCCATCATTTACCATGCACGCACATGGAATACTATGTTCACGCGCCGTCACCATCATGATGATGGAGAATGCAATATATTCAAAGAAAACGCCTTTCACTTCGTCACTTGCCTGTGCCCATGCTGGAGTCAACGCAACGCATTGTTGTACTCCGTATGAAACATCTCTGAGGGTGTGCCATCTTCAGACAGTGAGGTACATCGTTATGTCATCATCCAGAGGCTATGGATCCGGTTCTCAGCATAAGAAGGGAACGCGGTTCACAGTATCACAGTCATGGCCAGCGAAACATTTCACCCTTTCCTTTTCGTGGCTGTACAGGAACGTTTTGTAACTTACTGTAGGTGCAGAGAGGCTGTAAACTATATTTAGGTCCCTGCTGTCATAGCAGAGCCTGATAAGGACCTGCAACAGAGTGCAGGACTGCACTATTCCTGATTGTACAGAAACATTTTATAGCTTACTGTAGGAGCAGAAAGGCTGTAAAGCTATTTAGGTTCCTGCTGTCACCGTACAGCCTGGTAGGGACCTGCAACAGTGTGCAGAACTGCACTCTTCGTGACTGTACATGAACAGTTTACAGCTTGCTGTAGGTGCAGAGAGGCTGTAAAGTTATTTATGTTCCTGCTGTCACCGTACAACCTGATAAGGAATTAAAACCACGTGCACAACTGTATTTTTCGTGAGGGTTCTCAACATATGGGTCCTAGATGGACCGAGAATATCGTCAAGATTTATGGGTGCGACTATAGACGGGGGTATGGATTAGATATTGGATCTATTGACACACTTATACATACCACTCGGAATTACAAGTAATTTCAGCACACTTCATCTCCACACTTTAAAAATCACTGCTTCAAACACTGTTTTCTAAAGCGTTCAGTGCATTCAGCTGCCGTTCCCTAGCAATGGCGTCTATCGGTGGAGATTCTTTAGCTTTTCGCTTTCAGGTTCTTCCTGTCCAGCGAATATCCCGCAACTGAACGCTCTCAATTCCCCTGAGCCGGCCTGGGGTCTTTGTATGTAGCCTCGGGGCGGACACAACAGAAAATACCACCCTCAACAATTCATCTATTGTTGTTATGAATGGTTCCCTAGCGATAGCCCGGATATTGTTATCGTGTTTATTCGTTTCCGCGGGAAAGTGTTTACCAAGCCGTTGCTCAGAAACGGTCGCTGCATATTCGCGTATTGCATAGCAACGGCTGTACATGTCATAATAGGTTATCTAGACAATTTTATTTTTTTCGATTTAATACAGGAACGCTGATAACTGAGAGACGCGAAAGCGCGTGGAAAAGAAAGTAATATGCAGCTTTCATTACATAAGAAGTCTTTGCTGTGCAATTACTTTTAGTGATGTAGTCAAGTCGGATGGTATTTGTATTGTATGTGAAGTCATTATGCAACAGTGAAACTTCTTTCGTGCGTTTATAACAACAGTTCTCATGGTGAGCGTCACAGCTGCGACCTGCGTTGTTCGTTGTCCCTGCAACTACTGTTTCAACTGGTCATAGTTTTCTGTTCCCTGTCCCGTCGTAAGATCCAACCCAAGGACAATTGTTAGATCCCACACTGCGTTTTCTCTGCTTCATAACTTAATGTACGTACATTGCGCAGTTAAATTTCCACCTCACTCCATTTCTCTTTATAACCACATTCATATTCAAGGTTCCCAACAATTGAAATAAAATTTGAAGTTCTCACAGCGGTGGTTATGAAGACCACTACCTTCTAGAACATAACGCCGTGTAATTCACTGAAAGACAACTGACGTTTCGAAGGAACATCTCGCCTCCAACTTCAGGGTCAAGATACCAGCGTGAAAGCAGGTGGCAAGCAGAGTAATCGGCTAGAGTCAGAGTCAGAGTCAGAGTCAGAGTCAGACTGCTGTCTCCATTTAGGAGAAATATTATTTTGTGGAAGTAATCGGCTGGCCAGATTATACAAATAATCTGAAATTTGGGCACTGAAATGACAAATGAGACCGGCACGAAACCCGACTTCTCTTCTTTCCCGCAAGCACAATTTTAAATCCTCAGGATTGCTCAACATTTGCTTAAACTCTTTTGAAAATTCCTTGCTGTTTCCGACAACCTATGAATCTGAAGTAGGATTTTCGAATTTTGCTTTAACTTAAAACTAAACACAACAGTAGTCTCAACGTGTAAGGTGCTCCGAGGCTCAAGAAACTCGCAACAGCAGAACAAGCGGAAACGGAACCTTCCTATGAGGCCTGCTTTATAAGTTCTGTATCCTTTATTCTCATGGACACGCAGTGGCATAGTTCGTTGAGGCAATATCCTACAAGTCGGAAGGTCTCGGGTCGAGTCCCGATGAGGTGGATTTTTTCAATTTACCTAATCCTTCCAGTCACCCCATGGCTCTAGGGTCGACTCAGCCTCTAACAGAAATTAGTACCAGGAATCTCCCTGTGGGTAAAGGGCGACCGACGCGTAAAACTGACAATTTCACCGCCATCTGTGAGCCGACTGTCTAGAAAATGCGGGAGCCTCGACGTCTCACAACCCTATGGGCCTCCACGGCCTGTTACAGGGATAGCTTTACTTTATTATATTGTTAAACATTCAGTTTTTAATAAAACGATTACACCAAACTCTGAATAATGAATTCATCTTTGTGCTTTAATTAGAAATGTATAAGCGCGTATGATTCATTTTATTTTACTTTTTGCATTTGATTATGAGTTCAACAAACTAAGGCAACTGTGTCGCGGTTGCAGCACGCTCGATAACCACTGATGGAGAGCAACATTTTACAGGTTGCTGAAAGTGTGAAGAGACTGTAGTTCTTGTGTCACCGTACAGTCTGATCGTGATTTGTAACAGTGTGCAAACTGTACTTTCCACTGACCAGCAGGGAGTGGTGTCGCGTATGTATTAATTTGAGGGGGAAGGGGGGGGGTTCGCATTATGAAAAATGTCGGGAAACACTGGGTTAAGCAAAGCGCAATTGGGTCGAACTTTCCATACTTGTATGGCGGG